GGGCTAATGGGCATGTAGCTACTTCCATGTTTCAGATGATACGTCATGTTTGTAGTCGACCAATGAAGATGAGTTTACATATCACCTTGGGTTCGTCCTTCACCTTCTCAAAATGATCCCACACTTTGGATTTCCTGCCCGACATGTTATTAACTAGCCTGTGGAATAACCGCAGGTACCAGCCCTGGAGATTAACCTGACTCCTGTCTGACTGCTGAGCGTGGACACTTCCTGTGTCTGTCCTTTCACATTAAAATCACACATGGTCCAGTCATATAGGTTTGGATTTATTATGACAAGGTGCAGCTCCTGATAGAGTTTCATATTTGTTTGTTTTTTTTCTGAGACGAAGGGACCAATGAAATCTTGCCCACTGGGCGACTAATGTTTGGTTGACTGTCAGGGGGCGGCCCTAGATCCAAACTTTAACCACATAGTTTTGGTTTGAAATGTAAAAAGCAACAATACAAAAAAAGAAAGAAAGAAAGAAAGAAAGAAAGAAAGAAAGAAAGAAAGAGAGTTCAGTTTGAGAATCTGTCTCTTTATTTAATTTCTGTTTTACCGCCTCACTCTTCTTTCTTTAGTTAAAAGTGAATAATTGAAGAGTGAACTTCACATGTGGAACACAACTTTAATCATTATTCACCTTTAAATTATAAACAGACTTCTGCTTTTATGTTTTTTAAGTGAGTGAGACGAGGGTTCACTTTAAATATCCGACTGAAGAAACAGAGACTGTGCGAGTGTTAAAGAGATGTGAGATTAAATCAGGAGATTGATCCACTGCTCTGTGATCAGAGACTCATTAAAACAGCTCTGAACTCATGATGTTCGTTAAGATACAGAGACAGTGGAGAATTCTCTAACTGAAGATTAAATTAAATTATTTAAGTGTTATTAATATTATGTTTAAACTTTACACTTTTTAGTTTAAAGTTATAAGTTTTAAGATTTTCATCATGAATCCCCTTTCAATATTATTCATAGTCGACAGTTTTGTAGCTATAGCTGTTCACTGGGTTTCATTCATGAAATGTTTGTAAATCTGTGAGCAGATAAAACCTTGGTACTAAAAACCTACACCAGATTCGTGAACGCACATGTAGGCATGCATGTGTGTGTTGATGAATGCCTTCAATTGTTAATTGACACCGTGTTCCCAGTAGTCAGCAATTAGCATACCTCCCTGCCTATGAATAGCCAGTGACCACCATATATGGAGGTGATTATTACTATGGATAGGTGCATCCTGTCGACCTGCAAATGTGCTGCAAACAGTTCAGTTCGGGACACTTTTTCTGTTTCCTCAGTGAAAAGTTGTGGATGGTCCCAACAGAATCGTTCCTTAGCGTCCCCATGTTTGGTCCCCCCTCTGTTGGGGTACCTAGCACACAGATCTGGTACTAAAAGGTGGAGCTGTGAACACTGCAGTCTGATTGGTCAGTAGAGGACGGTCACTCTGCTCAGGGCTGAGTTGTGTCTGGTTTTGAGGCTCATGTAACCACTGTTCATACTGTGGAGAGTTTTATTAGTAAATGGTAACTATAAAATGAAAGGATGTTTTTCTGCCTCTCACAGCAGCTGGAGTCTGAGAAAAAATAACTTCATTCACTGGGCCGACTGCCGGCAACTTTTAAGGTGGAACGTTAACTTGTAATGTTACTCAATGCATGAGTTGATGACGTGAATCCATCAGCACACCTTAAATTTCACTGTGACAACTTTGACCATCACTTTAGTTTTTATATGACATACACTTTTAGTAATGAGTGGATCTTCGTGGAGTGGAAGTTCGGCTGGGTTGTGTAAACGGAATATATCTTGGTCCTCACTCGGAGAATAAAAGAAAGCGTCGTGGAGCGTTGTTCCTGTGGGCTACAGCTACACTAAACCCCTGAGCTTGCCTGAGAAGGACTAAATGCACAAAGCTGCTATTTTTAAATATCCCATGGAGAGAGACTCTCACTGCAGCCTGTTTTATTTTGTTCTGAATTTGTGGGTGTGCAGCCTCGTTCTGTGGACGATAAACCAGGTGCAGACTGATAAAGGAGGAAATACAGCGAGTGCTGGACGGAGCAGTGAGTGACAACAACCCCGCCCACATTTAAGAGGACACGCTAGGGTCTAGGTACCATGTCTGAAGGGTTACTGTTGGTTCCAAAGCTACCATACCGAAAGTGTTTGATGGAAACTGGGCTTTAGTGTTTGGTCAGTAACGTGGGTCTCACAGTCTTGACACTCAAACAGAAGACACATTTGTGGAATTTTAATTTCAATCTGAAGCTTAAATCTGTTAGTACCTACAAAAAGAGCTACTAACATATTGATGAATGCTGAAAAACACAGAAATTTCCTTCTGCAAACAGTTTACACGCAAATTAGTTCTGACTGACATTAAAGATGTGTCTACAAAACAAGACAACAGTCATTTCTCTGCATATTTTAAAGGTAGAAGAAGAAAGTGCTGCTGGATGAAGAGGTAAGGAGTGACAGACTGCACATCTCCAACTCCTCATCAAGGTAAAATGCATCTGCTGATGTGTCATAGTGTTATCATGCTCATGTGTGCAGCATGAGATCCGATCACGGTTGCTCACAGCGTGAAGGAAACTATTGACCGCCTTTTTCACAGCATACATTTTGACTCATCGTAGCAGGAAAAGCACAGGTGTCACTAATAACATTAACAAAGGCTCTGCTCTATTCAAGTGTATCCGTCAGTCGTGTTGGTGAGCCGGAGTGCACAATAATGCTTATTGATGTTGTCTGTTACACCTGTGGTTTTCCTGCTATGATGTGTCGCAACGTCTGCTGTGAAAAGGTCTGTTAAAACAATGACTTCTCTTGGCCCACAGTTCCTGTTGCCTTTTAAACAGATGCACAAGCAGCTGTACTTCTGTTGTATTTCTGTAAGGACTATATTGAAAGAGTGATTTGTAGAGTGCATTAGAACAATATCAGACTCAGACTGCACCTATGCTGCTCTCTCCACAGCATTACCGTGGGTTTGTCCCTCATCCTGCTGGCACATTCCCTCTCTCACAGCTAAAGCCCGGGCACCAGCTGTCATCACCACCACTGCAAGAGAGTTCAGACTAAACTATTCAGACATCTTCACAAACATCCAAACAGGAGAATAAAAAACTCGTCATTAAAGAATTTTGTCATGATGGGAGGTCATCTTGTTGTCAAACAATAAAAAACACTGTAACCAGAGTTTTCAAAAGAGTCTGAAGCCTGAGATTATTGCTCACAGGCAAACTACTCCACATCCTACACTATGACTTTTTTTCATGATTTTGGACGACATACTATACTATGACTTTTTTTCATGAATTCGGACGACATGCTATACTATGACTTTTTTTCATGATTTAGGACGACATGCTATACTATGACTTTTTTTTCATGACTTTGGACGACATGCTATACTATGACTTTTTTTCATGATTTTGGACGACATGCTATACTATGACTTTTTTTCATGATTTTGGACGACATGCTATACTATGACTTTTTTTCATGATTTTGGACGACATGCTATACTATGACTTTTTTTCATGATTTTGGACGACATGCTATACTATGACTTTTTTTCATGATTTTGGACGACATGCTATACTATGACTTTTTTTCATGATTTTGGACGACATGCTATACTATGACTTTTTTTCATGATTTTGGACGACATGCTATACTATGACTTTTTTTCATGATTTTGGACGACATGCTATACTATGACTTTTTTTCATGATTTTGGACGACATGCTATACTATGACTTTTTTTCATGATTTTGGACGACATGCTATACTATGACTTTTTTTCATGATTTTGGACGACATGCTATACTATGACTTTTTTTCATGATTTTGGACGACATGCTATACTATGACTTTTTTTCATGATTTTGGACGACATGCTATACTATGACTTTTTTTCATGATTTTGGACGACATGCTATACTATGACTTTTTTTCATGATTTTGGACGACATGCTATACTATGACTTTTTTTCATGATTTTGGACGACATGCTATACTATGACTTTTTTTCATGATTTTGGACGACATGCTATACTATGACTTTTTTTCATGATTTTGGACGACATGCTATACTATGACTTTTTTTCATGATTTTGGACGACATGCTATACTATGACTTTTTTTCATGATTTTGGACGACATGCTATACTATGACTTTTTTTCATGATTTTGGACGACATGCTATACTATGACTTTTTTTCATGATTTTGGACGACATGCTATACTATGACTTTTTTTCATGATTTTGGACGACATGCTATACTATGACTTTTTTTCATGATTTTGGACGACATGCTATACTATGACTTTTTTTCATGATTTTGGACGACATGCTATACTATGACTTTTTTTCATGATTTTGGACGACATGCTATACTATGACTTTTTTTCATGATTTTGGACGACATGCTATACTATGACTTTTTTTCATGATTTTGGACGACATGCTATACTATGACTTTTTTTCATGATTTTGGACGACATGCTATACTATGACTTTTTTTCATGATTTTGGACGACATGCTATACTATGACTTTTTTTCATGATTTTGGACGACATGCTATACTATGACTTTTTTTCATGATTTTGGACGACATGCTATACTATGACTTTTTTTCATGATTTTGGACGACATGCTATACTATGACTTTTTTTCATGATTTTGGACGACATGCTATACTATGACTTTTTTTCATGATTTTGGACGACATGCTATACTATGACTTTTTTTCATGATTTTGGACGACATGCTATACTATGACTTTTTTTCATGATTTTGGACGACATGCTATACTATGACTTTTTTTCATGATTTTGGACGACATGCTATACTATGACTTTTTTTCATGATTTTGGACGACATGCTATACTATGACTTTTTTTCATGATTTTGGACGACATGCTATACTATGACTTTTTTTCATGATTTTGGACGACATGCTATACTATGACTTTTTTTCATGATTTTGGACGACATGCTATACTATGACTTTTTTTCATGATTTTGGACGACATGCTATACTATGACTTTTTTTCATGATTTTGGACGACATGCTATACTATGACTTTTTTTCATGATTTTGGACGACATGCTATACTATGACTTTTTTTCATGATTTTGGACGACATGCTATACTATGACTTTTTTTCATGATTTTGGACGACATGCTATACTATGACTTTTTTTCATGATTTTGGACGACATGCTATACTATGACTTTTTTTCATGATTTTGGACGACATGCTATACTATGACTTTTTTTCATGATTTTGGACGACATGCTATACTATGACTTTTTTTCATGATTTTGGACGACATGCTATACTATGACTTTTTTTCATGATTTTGGACGACATGCTATACTATGACTTTTTTTCATGATTTTGGACGACATGCTATACTATGACTTTTTTTCATGATTTTGGACGACATGCTATACTATGACTTTTTTTCATGATTTTGGACGACATGCTATACTATGACTTTTTTTCATGATTTTGGACGACATGCTATACTATGACTTTTTTTCATGATTTTGGACGACATGCTATACTATGACTTTTTTTCATGATTTTGGACGACATGCTATACTATGACTTTTTTTCATGATTTTGGACGACATGCTATACTATGACTTTTTTTCATGATTTTGGACGACATGCTATACTATGACTTTTTTTCATGATTTTGGACGACATGCTATACTATGACTTTTTTTCATGATTTTGGACGACATGCTATACTATGACTTTTTTTCATGATTTTGGACGACATGCTATACTATGACTTTTTTTCATGATTTTGGACGACATGCTATACTATGACTTTTTTTCATGATTTTGGACGACATGCTATACTATGACTTTTTTTCATGATTTTGGACGACATGCTATACTATGACTTTTTTTCATGATTTTGGACGACATGCTATACTATGACTTTTTTTCATGATTTTGGACGACATGCTATACTATGACTTTTTTTCATGATTTTGGACGACATGCTATACTATGACTTTTTTTCATGATTTTGGACGACATGCTATACTATGACTTTTTTTCATGATTTTGGACGACATGCTATACTATGACTTTTTTTCATGATTTTGGACGACATGCTATACTATGACTTTTTTTCATGATTTTGGACGACATGCTATACTATGACTTTTTTTTCATGATTTTGGACGACATGCTACACTGTGACTTTTTTTTCATGATTTTGGACGACATGCTACATTGTGACTTTTTTCTCATGATTTTGGACGACATACTATACTATGACTTTTTTTCATGATTTTGGACGACATGCTATACTATGACTTCTTTTCATGATTTTGGACGACATATTATACTATGACTTTTATTCATGATTTTGGACGACATGCTATACTATGACTTCTTTTCATGATTTTGGACGACATACTATACTATGACTTTTTTTTCATGATTTTGGACGACATATTATACTGTAACTTTTTTTCATGATTTTGGACGACATGCTATAGTATGACTTTCATGACTTTTGACGACATACTACACTATGACTTTTTTTTTCATGACTTTTGACGACATGATATACTATGACTTTTTTTTCATGATTTTGGAAGACATACTATACTATGACTTTTTTCATGATTTTAGACGACATACTACACTATGACTTTTTTCCATCATTTTGGACCACATGCTACACTGTGACTTTTTTTTCATGATTTTGGACGACATGCTATACTATGACTTTTTTTCATGATTTTGGACGACATACTATACTATGACTTTTTTCATCATTTTGGACCACATGCTACACTATGACTTTTTTCCATCATTTTGGACGACATGCTACACTGTGACTTTTTTTTCATGATTTTGGACGACATGCTACATTGTGACTTTTTTCTCATGATTTTGGACGACATACTATACTATGACTTTTTTTCATGATTTTGGACCACATACTACACTATGACTTTTTTTTCATGATTTTGGACGACATACTATACTATGACTTTTTTTTCATGATTTTGGACGACATACTATACTATGACTTTTATTCATCATTTTTGACGACATGCTATACTATGACTTCTTTTCATGATTTTGGACGACATACTATACTATGACTTTTTTTCATGATTTTGGACGACATATTATACTGTAACTTTTTTTCATGATTTTGGACGACATGCTATAGTATGACTTTTTCATGACTTTTGACGACATACTATACTATGACTTTTTTTTTCATGACTTTTGACGACATGATATACTATGACTTTTTTTTCATGATTTTGGATGACATGATATACTATGACTTTTTTTCATGATTTTGGACCACATACTACACTATGACTTTTATTCATGATTTTGGACGACATACTACACTGTGACTTTTTTTTCATGATTTTGGACGACATGCTATACTATGATTTTTTTCATGATTTTGGATGACATACTATACTATGACTTTTTTCATGATTTTGGACGACATGTTATACTATGATTTTTTTAATGATTTTGGACGACATACTATACTATGACTTTTTTCATGATTTTGGACGACATGCTATACTATGACTTTTATTCATGATTTTGGACGACATACTACACTATGACTTTTTTTCATCATTTTGGACGACATACTACACTATGACTTTTTTTCATCATTTTGGACGACATACTACACTATGACTTTTTTTCATCATTTTGGACGACATGCTATACTATGACTTTTTTTTCATCATTTTGGACGACATGCTATACTATGACTTTTTTTAATGATTTTGGACGACACACTATACTTTGACTTTTAGTCATAATTTTGGACGACATGCTATACTTTGACTTTTAGTCATAATTTTGGACGACATACTATATTATGACCTGACTTTGATTACGATGTCAATGTGGAGAATAAAACAGGAGTACAGACATTAAAAACGCACAGTTTCGTTTTCATCTTTATTGGACACAAATTCAACAACAACACATTTTAACACGTCCAAATGTAGATTCAACCTGCTCTGTGTTACATCAAGGGAAGCTCATATACATGCACTACATCACACACACTCTTCAATATCTAGATTGTGTTTACTGTATATAAATAATCAACTGAAAAGAAAATTTATAAGAAAAACAGCAGATTACATTTGGTGTGAAATTCAGAACTGAACTGTTTGATTTTGAAAGCTACGTTAACAGACATTTTACTTTTAAGAATATGAACAATCTGTTAATTGCACATCAAAGAATAAGAACATTGGAATAATAAAAGGGACCTAAAAATGTAAAAAGGTAATGTCATATATCTTTTTATATCCAATTCACCGAACAGCATCACTTCTTGTTGTTGTAACAATCAATTTAACATATGTATCTGCAGTTGTTTGATGTTTTCAATAACTGCACCACATGCGATTTTTTTCCATGTTGCTGCATTTTAAGAAAAACCACAAGGTTCTTTTAGACATTTCGGTTCACTACCTTCACCACAGAACCTCCTTTTTCTGGGTGGATGACCTGATATCCCTCACTTGTTACTCACTCTTCTGCTCTTCCTCTCTGCCTTCTTTATTTTTCTCACCTTTCCTCCCTTGAGAGGCTGCCAAAAACATATTTTCTCAAACTGTTAAGAGTGTCGGAGAAAACCAAAGATTAAGATCTCAGAGCTGTCTGGAGTCGCTGGACTTGACGTGTGTGTGTGTGTGTGTGTGTGTGTGTGTGTGTGTGTGTTTTCAGAAACCCGTCTGACGAGCTGCCGGATGTTTTTTTGGAGAGGAAGAACTTGTGAAAAGCTTTGACACGCTTGGGTTTACAGGTGTGTAACAGTGTTAGAAGCTTTCTGACAGCACTAATGAAACTGACAGGAGATGGAGAAGGAGAAGGGGGAGGACAGAGGAGAGTAGGACAGAAAGGAGGAGGGAGAAATAAAGAATTAAAGCTAGGGAGGTTTAATTTGTGTTTGCTACAATTACTCAAACCTCACTACCAAAATTCACAAAAATCTAAAATTCAATCTGATTCTGACAGAAAACTGTCACTCTATAAATATCATATCTGTATATTATGGACACCCATTTCCCCAAGTGAGGTTAAAAAAAAAAAAAGATCCTGAACTTGATTATGATGAGAAACTTCATCAAAAAAATGAAGTAGCATCTCAAAATAATGTAAATCTTTCTCAGAATAACAAATTAGTTTATCAAAGTCAAGACAGAGCTTCTTAAATTAATGATGTAGTATCTAAGTCATTTTGAGGCTTGGTCATTATTTTTGCGATAGTAAGTCATTACTTTGAGAAACTAAGTTGTCATTTTTAGAAACGTTATTTTAGTAAACAAAGTCATTTTAAGAAATTATGTCATTATGAGATAGTAAGTCTTTAATCTGAAATATAATTATATATAACTATTACGGAACTACTCAATTTTCAGATACTAAATCATTATTTTGAGAAACTAAGTCATTACTTGGAGAGACTGAGTCATGAAATTTTGAGTCATTATTTTAATACTAAGTCATTATTTAAAAAAAGTTTCTCATCTTGACTGACAGGATCATTTTTCTTTAATTACACTGGCAGAAATGGCCTTCCATTGTTTATATATCTCTTTCTGCATAAAACTCTGAGAAACTAAAACAGTTATAACATTTTAAAAATATAAACACAGCAGTAAGGTGTGCTGTGCAAAACTGTGTCACGCTGGATAGCCTCCAAGCTGGAGTTAAAATAACTGACACCTGACAGAGACCTATTGTTTCTCTAAACTAACCATGTGAAGATGTAAATGAATACTGTGGCATTTTTATATTTTCTCCTAAATATAAAGTTTTAAAACAGAAAATTCACTCATGTGAAGAACTAGTCAGTGCCAGGCACACAATCATGTTAGCCACAATGAATACACCAAACAGGATCTACGCTCACTGTACAAGATTAACAGACTACATTACCCAGCAGCTCTGAGGAGCGAGATATATATTTATATATATACTGTACATGTACGCACTGGGAGCAGAATGGATGAAAGCTGCAAAGATGAAGAGAAGCCTGTACACCTATTAGTGAAGTATAAAGCGACAGAGAAGAAAAAGAAAAGGTTCACTTGGGACATGTCGACAGAGGGAACCATGGAAACTATGGAGGAACCACTCGACAGACAAAAGTGACTCTAAGAGGCCGAACAAAGCTGATGTTGTACTCACACTCAATGCAAAGAAAAAGCGTGGAGAGAAAGAACTTGACCTAAACTTGAACGATTAGCAAAATACCTTCTGCCCCTATTTAACAGGACCAGGTGCTACGGAGCCACGGAAACTAAACTCACAAACAAAACTGAAGCCCCTGTCACACACACACTGCGACCCTGAACTCATCTAGACGTAACTCAAAGGAGCTCTGTGTGAGAACACAAATGTCCCAATCAGTTGGACTGGATGAATAATGGACTTCACCCTGCTAACTCCCCAGCACAAAATCTGCGTAATGTCCAATTGAGGCCATGTGTGAATAGAGCACGTCATTTTCCAGAGAATTTAAAGTAAGCGAGTGACATGTTGATGACATTTCTATCGAGCAACTGGTGCGAAACCAGAAGTATACAAACATCCGAGGGTCATTTACACAACGAAGCAAATGAACATCTGGAGACACAGCGAGTTTCGGGAACTTCTGTCGGTAGGAGTCGAACCTGAAGTCGTCAGACAAATTCAAGGAACGGCACAAGACCCAGCGTAATCAATTAGGAACTAGCTTTGTAAACTACGATTTCTGCAGCGTAATTTTTGCCTCCTATACACTTTACCCTGGCGCCAACCCTCGCCTAAACCACGTAGTATTTCCAGTCAGTGAGATCGCGTCTGACATGGACAGTCTCCTGTTGTGTGCTAGAGTTCATACGAGAAAACGGCTCGAGTCAGGCTCTGCACCACAGAACGCCTTCTGTTAAATCATACAGCGTTGACGTTAATCCTTTAATATGTGACCAAAATCATATTATGGGTTTTCTCCTTTTTAATATCCGCTGTGACTCGGTGTGTAAAGGTTTACAGTGATCGTGCTTTTAGGACGAGCAGCCTAAAGTGAAAATGTGTGTTAGTGAAAATACACTTGGGTGTAAACACACACACACACACACACACACACACACACACACACACACACATTTCTGCATAAAGCTCAGAGAGGCTGAAAAAGCTATGAAGGTGTTATAAAAGTAAAAGCAAACACCAAAGAAGTCTCTCTCTCTCTCTCTCTCTCTCACACACACACACACACACACACAGATGCAGTGTGAAATGTGGAAAGTGTGTACTTGTGTTACAGAGGTCGGAGAGAACGTAAGCCTTTAAGAGCAGCGGAGAATCTCCATAAAATATTTTAAACCGTCTGTTAGAAATAATGAAATTAATTCTAGGTTGTTTAATTTTTTGAATCTGAAAACTGACAACGGGGCGAAGACTGACTCACGTTAGGTCCCTGTGTTCAATCCAATCAGTTACCTGCAAATTTAAAGATAAGACGATCGTATTTAGCACTGAAATAAACTAACAGCAACAGCTGGGATCCAAGATGGCGACAGAGAAGATCTGTGACATCAGCAAATAAATAGGAATGAGGAGAAGGTGTTAACAAAATACATCGATACAAATCATAATGTAAACGAGCCTTTAAAATAAATTACACAGCGAGCGTCTTCATAATGATCACTATAAGACATATAAACAAAAACTGATCCAGTCCGGTCTCAGACCTGGACCTGAGCTGGGTTTTTACTTCTCTGGCCGAACTGCAACTCATTACATTTAGATTTAAAGACAAGCCTTTGAATGTATCTCAGTGAAACCTCAACGGAGCCTTTACTGTCAGCCTCACTTATCTCTACACTCATTAATAGTTGGACTCGGCAGCTCAGGATATGAACTTGAAGCTAAAACTAAAGTGACCAGTGACAGAGTCCATGCTGCAGCACTTCAAACCCTAAAAAAAATACAACACGAAGGGCTTAGCTGAAGACACAGATCGGGTTTAGACCATGAAGCGGTGCTCCTTGCCGTCGTGGGCCATCAGGATGACGTTGCGGTTGGAGGTCCAGATGAGGCGAGCGAGCTTCAGGTGGTTCTGGGAGCCCGGGGACGCCGGCTGCACCGGAGGAACCTGGTAGGTCTTAATGCAGCGGAGCTGAGGGGCTGAGTTCAGCATCCCGATGCTGCCCAGCAGACTGGTGTTCATCTGTGGACGACAGGAAACACATGAAGCTGCAGATCACACTGAGAAGCATTAAACACCCAGGGTTCGACAAGTTTTATCAACTCCCTGATACTGCCAGCAATGTACAGTTCCACAAACGTCCCGATTCATTTGCACCTTAGTTCAACATTTTACGAAAACAGTGAACAGTTCTTGTTGCTAGGTAACCAGGGCTCGAGTCTAAGGGCTCATTTATGCTCAACATTGGAGACGGAGACAGACGGAGCCTTCTGTCCGTACTCTGCGTTTATTTCATCTGTATCTGTGGACATTACTTGAAAGCCTGCAGATATGGACGAAGCAGAGCAGTACCACCTGAGATCGTAGAGGCAGTGTAGCGTAATTAAAGCGAGATACAACCGTCGGAGATGATGAAGAAATTTAAATAAGGGTGGAACGGAACAAATCGGTCATATATAATAATATACAGTAGGGATGTCAAAAGAACACGTTTATCTGGATTAATTAATCACAGAAAAAGTAACACATTAAAAAACCCTTTGACCCGGCGCATCATTGAAGGCCACAGTGGCTTTGTCACACGATTGAGGCAGACGAGATGACGCTGCTTGGCCCCGTGGATGAAACATTTACGTCCAGGTGGAACTGTTGATAGGAGCACTGTTCTCTGCAGTTTCTGCAGTAAAGAACTTCCATCTTATCGGAGAACTTCAACCCTGAAATATCATCTCAACACAAAGCATTTAGCAGAAAACCCAGAGGTCCGAGCTAGCACAGCCTCTGATGCTAATGCTAGCAGCCAGCCTCGTCAAGACACACTCAACCCGGCGTTCAAAGTGACTAAATTCCCTCCCTTACACAATGGACTGCAGACCAGTTTGGGTGGTGGAGGACAGGGGGCAATTGTGTCCAAAACCCAGCAGCTTTACTAAGACACATGTGCCAACATTCATTTGAGCTGAATTTTTTAAAATACTTTCACAGCAACAGTTGAAGTATGCGATTAATTTAGATAAATTCATCACAGATCGCTTTTTTAATCGCTTGACGGCCCTAATATATAGTGATATTTGTAAAAAGGGATGTATAATGGCTGCACAAACCTCCTCCGTCTACATTGCCACCTCCATTTAAAGACACAAATTACTCCACTGTCACCTCATTTGTCTTTTTGTGAAACCTTTGACTCCACCCTCTAGTGCCATCTATTGGTTGTATCTATGCCATCATACACGACGCAGGGAAGTATGAGGACAGTGACGTATCTATTGTCTTCCTTAAAGGGGGTATAAATGAGCCTTAACATCGTCCCGTCGTCCTGGTGATGATAGAAAATAAGGGATGAAAAGCAATCCTCGTCAGGATGCCTCTGGGACGAAAGAGGTTCTGCTGCATGTATAACTTAAAACTAGGGCCCGACCGATTTAATTGGCCGATTATAGCCATTAGAGAAAAATCGGCAATTGATTGACGCTGATGTTAACACTTATATTTTCATCACTAATAAAATGCAGGGAATATGGTGTTTTACTTAGAAATGATGTCCTTGTGTTACTTTTTGCACTATACCCTACCTCTGTTAAATTGGCAATAATAAGAACAACTCTGGTACTGTGAACATACATGTGAATGTCTTAATTCATGTAGACTTTGCATGATTATTTTATTTCCCAGAGGTTTACTGCCTTTTTGCACATCATATTTTTGATTTATTTTGTGTTCAAATTGTTCATATGCAGCTTGTTCCACACAATTTCTGATAATAAAAGTATTTGAAAATAGTAAAATGTTCTTCCTTCAATTTATATCTTTGTAGTGAGTGTTTGAACTATATTTAAGCCATCAAAAGCAGGTATTTTGGGGGTTTTAAACTGAAAAACGTAAAAATGTAATCGGCCGATATATCGGTTATTGGATTTTTTTATTCCATAATATCGCAATCGGCATCGGCCCCAAAAAAATCCATATCGGTCGGGCCCTACTTAAAACTACCGCTTAGCAAGTGACAAACTGAACTGAGCGCTGAGTACACTGCAGCGTGTCTTGATGCTGTTATTAGAGTTGCTATCACTGAGAGGAGGGGCCTTTCCAAAACTGGACACTACTCAGACTGCCACTCAGTTTGTAGTCACCTTCTCAGCTGAATGAAGCACCCTATATTAAAGGGTTAGTGCACCCAAAAATGAAAATTCAGCCATTATCTACTCACCCATATGCCGAGGGAGGCTCAGGTGAAGTTTTAGAGTCCTCACATCACTTGCAGAGATCCAAGGGGAGAGGAGGTAGCAACACAACTCCACCTAATGGAGGCTGACGGCGCCCCAGATTCAAACGTCCAAAAACACATAATTGAAACCACAAAATATCTCCATACTGCTCGTCCTTAGTGATCCTGTAGCTACAGCTTTAGCTGTAGTGAGGCTAAAAACAGAGTTGAAATGACGTTTTTCCAAACAACTTTTTATGTCGGGGCTTCAGGACACTTGGATCACTACGGACGAGCAGTATGGAGATATTTTGTGGTTTCAATTATGTGTTTTTGGACGTTTGAATCTGGGGCGCCGTCAGCCTCCATTAGGTGGAGTTGTGTTGCTACCTCCTCTCCCCTTGGATCTCTGCAAGTGATGTGAGGACTCTAAAACTTCACCTGAGCCTCCCTCGGCATATGGGTGAGTAGATAATGGCTGAATTTTCATTTTTGGGTGCACTATCCCTTTAATGTGTAGGGTGTAAACACAGCGGTAAGCTTTGGGTCAAACTTCCCTCTCTGCAGCAGCAGAAGGAGCTGTCATTATGTTAGGTAAGTAAAATGACTCCCATTTTATGTTCTTTATATGTATCTTATATTATCCTTTTGCCATTAAAATAAATAAATGAATCGATAAATAAGTAATTAAACAAATAAACTAATAAATAAATAATACACAAAAGGGAATACAACTTTTCCCTGAGATTCAACGATGACATTGTTTGTCTTTTACTTTTGGAATCATGCTCTCATTGTTCATTCTGATGTTTACAAGCTGCTCATTTCTGTAACAGTTAACTGTGATGACCCGACTGTGTGTCAGTATCGTCATATATGCAGATTGTTGGATGAAATCTGGTCACAAACTGTTCTGTCAACACTGAAACAGAAGTTACTGAACATTTTGGTAAGAAGACCCTCGTCGCTGCTTCCTGTCAGTGATGCTGAACCCTCTGAGGAAACATCGAGTTAACCCGTGAAGATCCTGACAATGCGTCCTGCGAGTGTGTGTGTTTGTGTGTGTGTGTGTGTGTAGGAAAAACACAGCAACCAGAAACTCTATCGTTTCCTGAGATGACACCGCCCCTCCCACACTCACTCACACACACACACACACACACACACACCGACAGAGCGTCTGCCAGCTGATCACCACAGCAGCCGTCTTGCCGGCGCGCTCGCAGCGGTTTATGCTTACAGTAATGCCATTAGTGTGTGTGTGTGTCTGCAGACAGTCGTGTCAGAGGTCGTAAAGACCTTTCATTAAAAATAACAGTTCTGGGAAGAAGACGAGAAGTGTGTCTGTCTGAGTGTGTGTGTGTGTGAGAGAGGCTGCATATGATAAACAGAAGATTAAAAATAGATAAATAAATACATGATATAATTACTGACAGCGCCCGGCTCGTCTGTGTGTTGTTGTCATCACCTCACATTACTGCAAATGTTATTTTTCCCACAGAAACAGCGTCACTGTCTAAAATGGTTCTGTAGGTGTCACGTACCTGCCAGAAGGAGATGTGGCTGTCAGCGTTGGAGTACGTTGCCAGGTAACGGCCATCAGGGGCGAAAGACACGGCTGTGATTGGACCCTTATGACCGTGGATGTTCTGGAGGGACAGGAAGTGAAAGAGACTCATTAAACCAGATCAGGAGCTGAAAACTTTTCCAAAATAAAAAATGTAGACTCACACAGAAGTAAATCGCTCTCAGTCAACCAGCCGTACACACAGCTGTAGCTGAGACAGCTGCAGGTGATATGATGAGGACGAGATTACACATAAGTTAAGAGACAGATAACACTCTTCTTAGGTTGTTTGACAGTTTCACAGATTGTGTTATTTTTGCAGGCTGCATGGTGTTCTGTGCAATGCCAAACAAAAGTGCATTGATAAAGTTAACTTGAAATCATTTATGAGTGATTAATGTCGTCATTTTAATTTACATTCATCTCCCTGTTAGTGGTGGTTTGTCATCCTGTGAAGAACTTTGTAAAGTCAGCTCAACATGAGCACGATGAATGAATCATTGATCATCCTTCTGACGTTGTTCTGACGGCCTGTGACGTTTCCAACAAGCTCTCGAAGCAACCTGGACTCTTCCTGCTTTATTCATTTTGCTGAATGCAAACCGATTTCCTCTGGTTACCTTATATAGAATATAACTCTCCTGTCTGAACGTGTCTCTGAATGTTTCCATTCCAGTCTCCAGACTTCTCATATCTTGCTCTGGTCTTAGTGGTTTGTTATTGACGGGCACTCTGCAATAAAAAGATGGTTTACGTGACGGTGTGTGTGCTGCTCGTCTGGCCTACAATTTCATCAGTTTATGAAGTGTAACGCAGTGTTATTGAGGTTTCACAGAAGCTTTTCACAGATGAAAAACAGCCTGGAACAAAAAGCCACTTCATAGTTTAAAAGAAAAAACCTGAGAAGTATGTCACGCAGGATCGTTCCTCATCAGCCACGGCGGCTAAAACAGGTGCCAAACTGCAGCAGCAGCTCCAGGTTCAGACCCAGACTTCAATAAATTCTGTTTTGTGATAAAGACAAGATGAAGAACAAATTTTGGTCCTTGCTGAAATTTCATCGAGGCGTCTCAGAAAAACTCGTTTTGCCGCCGCGTCGCCCAGATTTTCCCTGACAGTAAGTGTTTGGTTTGGACGAGATAATTCCATCAGATGAGGGGCAGCTTCTGGTCCAACAGATGCTGCCGTTCGCCTCCAGAACTCAGGGGACGAAATAAAGCGGCGCCACGACGCGTGTAACGCAATAAACTGTCCCACCAGATGCAGGGTGTGTAACGCAATAAACGCCCCCCAAGAAATCCCCTCCCCGCCTCTGCCTGCGACTGGGATTACAAACTCTCACCTCCAGATGAGATTAAGATGCGTCGCCTCGGGCTTCCAGACCATGAAATAATAACCCGTCTGTGGCGATTAGAGCAGAAAAAAATAATAACGCAATGAAATGAAAATCTCATCTTTTTAATTCGTTCTCTCCCTCCTGCTTTTAGGGGAAATCCTATTAGATTCCAGCAGTGGTGGCTGAGAAAAAAGCCACATTATTTTGATTTCTTTCCAGCCTTTATCTCTGTCTACCTCTTTCACCTCTTCGTGATCCCTTTTCTCAACCTTCTTTCCATCCTTCACCCCCGTCAGTCTTTCCCCTCCATTATTTTCTCTTTGGCGAGATCCCAAATCACATTTCCCATCACTGCGGCTGTTAAAGGCAAAAATGAGAAGAGCAGACGCGGTTTGTCTGCAAACGTTCACAGCATCAAATCAAAGGATCTTCAATCTGTTGAGAATTAAATATGACACCAACATCCAGGTTTTTAAGATCTACATAACTGAGCTTTAAATGCTTTTTAAAAATTACACTCATTTGGCTGATGCAAGGATGATCCGGCATGTGGAGCTGAAGATCAATTAACCTGCTTCCACCTGAGCTACAGCTGCCAGGATGATCTACAGGTGGCACTTGACACGTCAGTCATATTCTTCTGACTTTTCATCCATTCATCCATTTTCATCCGCCAGGTCGTGGGGGCAGCAGGCCAAGCAAAGCATCCCAAACATTCCTCTCCCCAGTGACGCTCTACAGCTCCTCCTGGGGGATTCCGAGGTGTTCCCAGGCCAGATGAGATATGTATGTACGTAATATATGTAATCCCTCTTTCTTCTTCTTTTTTGCGTTCCTCTTGTCTTCACATTCACACTCTTTCTTGTTTCTCTAGCTGCCTTCTTAAGCTTTTCAAGCATCTCGCAGATTTCACTGAAGCCGAGATGCAGTTTGCCCCAGAGTGGTCAGCTAGACGACGATGGTTGTCATGAAGACCCAAATACGCAGAGCACACCTTCAACACTTTTAGTTTGTGTGGTTGAAAGCTTGAGGCTGGCATCAAGTTTGGGTCTACCCTGGAGTCTCCCACCTCTTCTGACTTCTGACTTAATTTTATGTTTATTTCATTCTTCTTCTTCTAATTTTTATTAGAGGTATCTTGATCATACGTTATCAAGATGGCAGCATACACAGAAGCAGCGGCTTTGCTCTCCATCAAGGTAATGTGTCTGCTTGTCTGTGAATTTCTGTATGTAGCACTGGAGACACCAAATTTTATTGTGCAGCTGTGCAGTTATGATGCAATTTAGAGTCACCAATTAACCTGCATGTCTTTGGACTGTGGGAGGAAGCTGGAGCACCTGGAGGAAACCCACGCTGACACAGGGAGAACATGCAAACTCCACACAGAAGGGCTCTGCCACCTTGAGGTTCAAACTAGGAACCCTCTTTCTGTGAGGTGACAATGCTAACCACTGCACCACCGTGCCGCCTGCTACAGAACATTTCAGAGTAGAAATACTGCAGGCTGTACTACAGGGTCATTTGTGGCGGCCTGCCACAATTATAACATCTGACGCCACATATTGATTTTCTATTTTCAGAGCTGGAGAATGCTGTTGGAATATATATAACGTTTTATGCTCCACACTCTCACAGTGCAGAGAGTACTCTGGGCACAGACGGAGCAGCAGAACGCCAGGCGCAGTAGAAATGAAACTTAACCATTCATTGCGCTGGGTCTTAAAGTTTGCTCAGACTTAAAATCAGCTGCGCCTCTCATCCATCGATCTGATCTGATGATCGGACCAACTGATCAATTATTAACCCCACAACTCAAAACTCAAGAACTCATGAGGAGTTTGGTCTGTGCTGCGTTCATGGACCCTCAGAAACCTTCACATTTACTGACGGGACACGGACTGACAGGCTACACAAGGACACACAGGCTGCAACAAATAAAAACACTGTACTATGAATGCTGTAGCAGACAATACAACAAAATCTAATTCTAGTTGCACTTAAATATAATTCAGTAATCCTTTTAGAATGAGCTCTGACCACACATACTATCTGGCCAAGCAGAGCTGCTGTTGCTGCTACAAGAGTTGGACTTTATTATTCATGTATTCATTCATTCACACCCTTAAAATGTCTTCAAATTGTGATAGAGAAATTGTTACAGCAGCACACAAATGAGCTGTGAGGTGGAATATGATTTTTATAATTTAAAGACATAATCAGGAAATAAAACTATTGATTGGAAAATGTAATGAGTTCATGAACGCATCATCAAATGCAATTAAATGAACCTGTAGTAGCTGATGAATATATTCATTAATAAATCATAAAAATAAATAAATAAATAAAAAAAACTCCAAAAGTGTACAAGCATTGTGTCGTCATGCTCCAGGCTCCGTGCAGTGTCTCCACTTAGTGTGAAATATTGGACCAATTCTGCAGCTGACAGTAACATGAAAACTGTACAATCAGAGCGCAGGGCTGCCAGAGCAACACGCCAAGAGACGCTATAAACACTCTGTGATTAACTTTAATCTGGATTCACTGCATGTGACTGTATTTACACTGTTTAACAACATGATGTGAAGATAAAGTGGTGAAGAGAAAGACTAAAGGTGCAGAATAAAAACATGTATGTATAAAGAGAGAAACTGGTTGCAGAGTAGAACTGTTTAATGTGCATCAAATATTGATGCTTCCATATATATTTTGATCAGTGTGTGTGTGTGTCTGTGTGTGTGTGTGTGTGTGTGTGTGTGTGTGTGTGTGTGTCACGGTGGACTGCCGACCAAATCAATCAGCCTATCAGAGAGCAGTGAAGCACACTGAAACCATTTACAGCACTCTGTACTTCAATACACCTGACGCCTGGGGCACTCGACTGTGTGTGTGTGTGTGTGTGTGTGTGTGTGTGCGCGCGTCACACAGAAGGCTCATCCCATCTTATTTCCATCCCATGTGACTACGACTGGCTGCTCTTAAATCCCACCTCTTCCTTGAATAGCCAATGTAAGGATGTTTTCACAGAGAGATGCATCAACCACAGATTGTGTAATTAAGAAAGACACTTTGGTTCAAAACTCGTGAAACGTGCACTGCATACTCAAGTACTTTCTATCGATGTGTTTGGTACACTGAGCTGCGTCATGAGGGAACGCCACGTGGGCCAATGCCAGAGCAGATCCTGCAGGAGGGAGGCTGGGCCTGCTGAAGCTTACAAACGTAACCTTATACTTCTTGTAGGCGATGCCAGGACCCTGCTTATCAGTTGCAGCCATGGATTGTATGCAAAGATGGACGACATAAGTGGATCAAAAAAGTGAAGCCAAAACATCTCCATTGCCCCCTGGTGGCTGGCTGCAGTATAGGTCATAAACCACGCCCCCTCCTTGTTAGTGGATGGGACATGGGCCGAAAGATGGTTTCTGCCATTTTCAGTCGTTCTCATCACGCTGATGTTTGTTCAAGTGTATTTTTACGCCTCCTGTTGGAAACAGCCATGGCCAGAGGCATTATGTTTTCAGGTTGTCCGTCCGTTCATCCGTACATCCATCCGTCCCATCCTGAACACGATATCTCAAGAACACTTTGAGGAATGTCTTCAAATTTGGCACGAAGGCTGACTTGGACTCGAGGATGAACTGATTAGATTTTGGTGGTCAAGGGTCAAAGGTCAAGATCGCTTTGACCCTGCATCCATCTCATTCTCGTGAACACGATATCTCAAGAACACCATGAGCGGCACTTCTCATTCTGTTAAGTTTGGCTTTGACGAGTTATTCAATGCTTTAAAAAGACTGTTTGACGTCATGATTGAGAGCTGTGTGAGCCAATCAGTGTGCTCGCAAGCAATGGCTCTGCTCGCGATTGGTCGGAGAGGTGTTTGGGTGGGAGCTTGATACCACAGTGATTGCTACTGTGCAGATTCTGGCTCCAAATGACGTCAGCAGGGCAAGATGGCAGCTGCCGTATCGGAGATATTTTGGCTTCATTTTTGTACAGTGGGAGGAAGTGGAGACGTGTTGTCCATCTTTATACAGTCTATGGTTGCAGCTGACAAATACACACAGGAGGATTCAAACCAAACTAACAGTCATGATAAGTGCTGATGCAAACTGTTATGCTGGATACACACACTTACTTTTAACTGTGTGTTTGCCTGTTACATTTGTACATTGTTACATAGCAGATATGTATGTTTCAACAACACTGTGGTTACTGTGTGGTTAGATTAAGACACAAAACCACTTAGTTATGATTAGATAAAAGTTTAGATCATCAAAAGCTGCTGGAAAAACAGCATCGACACGCTAAATACACCCATGGCTTTTGTGTTAGTGATGTCAGAGTTAGGCTTGTGCCAATTTCCGGTTTAACCGGTTCGGTCCGGTTTAAAAGCTCCACCCGGTTTAATTCACGTCAACCAGATAAACCGGGTGGGGGTGGGGGTTGGGGGGGAGCTTTTCACATCAGCGGCGTGTCAAGGGACTATATTCAACTTATCTTGCATTGTAACATACATTATGACAACTTAATAAGGCTTATGTATGTTTTTAAATGACGTGGAGGAGCCTACAAGTGTTTTGTTTAGTTTGTCTCAGAGGCTCCGCGGACTCCGCAGCTCCGATCAGCTGTCTACTGCTGCTGCAAGAGAAGTGTTGCTGGTGGAACCTTTGACCTCGTCGTCACATTGGTCACCGACGTGGAGGACTCCAGCCATGAAACTTTGCAGCCCAAGGATGAGGTGCAGCCCACATGGAGTTCAAGACACCCAAGGAGGATCCTTTGGAGGTTTGATGGTGGTGGAAGGAGCATGCTAAAATGTTTTCACCATCCAGTCAAAGAGACGTCTCCTCCGCTGGATTTGTGATTCAAGAACGGAGAGCCCAGCTTAATGTGAGGGACTGGAGCCTGGGTGGGTCTGAGTGATGTAGCTAATCTACCTTGCAGCGTATACATTGCACAGACATCGGCCCCTTCAGTAGAGGAGTGTGGAAACACCTCACTGGTGACAAACTTTGCACAGATACAAGTCAGTGTAGTCAAGGTCAGACATTTGAGGAGGTATAAACATTATGAAAATACATTTTTGAGAAGGGTTAGGACTTAAAAATTTCTCTCAAAGGTATTCACAGATTGTGGTGCCCTCCAGGCGTGGACCATAGACCCTATATGCTGCCTCCTTATTGCTCTTTGTCCCCAACTAAGAAGCTAGTGTCAGAGGATCTGACTGATTTAAGGGTAGCATGCATTAAGAGCATGTTGTTAAGAGCAAGTGTTCAGTCCATAAACACCAATAAAAGGATCTTGAAGTCTATTCTAACACTGACAGGCAACTGATGGAGAGACTTTAGGGACAGGTGAGACGTGTGCTCTCCTCAGCTTATGGCTAGCTACACTGGTTAGCCTCCGACATGCTGTACAGTGGGAGGTGTCACCTCTGAGGCGGAGCTACACCTTCAGTTACAGAGCGCATTCTCTGGTGTCGGTGCTCACAGAGAGAAACAGATGCAGACAGAGAGAAAGATCAGTCAGATTGTTTCTTTGTGTTCAATTAGTAGACTCAGTAGAGTCTGTTAAAAAAGCAGAGCAAGCAGCTGGACACACACACGCACACACACACACACACACACACAAAGTAATACAGCTGACAAAGGGCTGTTCACGGAGGCTGATCAAAGCTGTAGCAGATGGTCATGCAGGGACTAGCTGGCTACGGTTGGACACATACACACACTAACACACATTTACACACAAATGAATTATGAACAAAAACTCTGCCTCTCCTCTGCTTCCTTCCCGTCTCCTTTCTATCCTCCCTTATCTCCTCTTTTCCTTCTTTTATCTCATCAGCTCTCTTGAAGACCAGCTCTCACTTCGCTTCTTCTCTCGCTAATTCTCTCAGGTGGAAATTAAAGTGTTTCGATGAGTCAAAAATCCTTCAAATGACTGAGCGAGGCTCCTCGTACAGATTTGACATTAATTGTTTATATAAGGAGCAGATTATTTTCACCCTTTTTTTATTTGTTGGCGTATCAAAGTAGGGTGCACACTCAAAAAGGTGACAGGGATAACGTGGGGTATCTCCAAGGTAAATATCGCACTGTATTTGTCTGCGCCCTGAGATAAACTGAGTTCTAGTTTTGCTGAAAAAAACAAGGCCTTGTAAACATGATTCAGTGAGTGCCAAGAAGTACCTGAATCGATAAGACTCAGAACTAATCAAACCTAAAGACACCCAGTCGTGTTAATGAAGATGATTGCATTCTTACATTTAAAATAAAATGACTGATACAGTTCCAGTTCACACACACTCTTACATGCACATGCCCACACACTGTTTCCACCCTGCCACTATCTATTAAATGTTAATTACTACGAATACCACTCAAAGGAAAAGCGTCTGCTGTCTTTACCCCGTGCACACAAACATAAACACCTTCACACACACAAACACACAATCAAAGTAAATGTCGGGTGAACAGGGGCCACTGCTGTTATCAGATATAAATGACCCCCTCCACCAGACTAGACTGCTCAGGTTACTGCAAATCAATACGCAGCAAATTACCAACACACACACTCACACAGGAGTACACACAAACACATGGGCTATGCAATCTCACGCACACACGTGTGCAAAGACAAAAACGGGATTAAGTGAGTCATTGTTTCATCATTAATCAGTTACAGAGAGAAAAATCAGTGGAAGCAACACAGCTCCTCTCCTGATTCCCTCCTTCTGTTCTCCTCATTTCCCTTCACTGTTCCTCCTCTCCTCACCTCCTCCTCTACTCTCCTGTCGTTAGAAGCTTTTCATGGATAGACAGAGAACTCAAACACAGGTAAACAACAGCTGGACAGATTATGGATGAATGGAGAAATCTGGCAAGCTTGACTTTGGCGTCAATCAACACCTGATCAGCTCCTGTGTCGATCAAACAACAGAGCTGCTGATGAACAGAGACTTAACGTACCTGACATTTTCCAGTGCGGACATCGTAGAGAGCCACCGAACCCTGGCGAGCTCCAACAGCGATGCGGTGGCTACGGTCACAGTAACCAACCATGTAGAACCTGAACAAGTGGACGACAAACGCACGTTAACGTATCAACAGTCAGATGAGTGTCATTTAACAATTTAGCAAAGAGAGCAGGAAGATTTCACGAGACAAATGATTAACAATAATGCTGTGTTACGGTTTGTTCCTGTAAAACTAAACCACAAGAAACAACTGCACAGCATGTCTGTTCATTATTAGTAGTTGAAAATATGATTACATAAACAAACACCATCTTAAAATGTACATACACATACGACCCCCTCTAGTTAAAGGGCAACTTGTGTATTTTTAAACCAAGATCCTGTTATCCCATGTTTTGTGTCTTCGTAAGTAGTGGGAACTAGGGTTGTCATGAGAACCGATACTTTGGTACCAAGTTGATGCCAACATGCATGTCCGTATCTGTTTTTTTTTTTTTTTTCGGCACTGTAAGTACCAGATACAACTGTGCCCTCAGCGGGCTGTGTTGATTCCTGTCGGAACTGACGGGGGCAGTATACGCACGTCAGTCTGTGCCGAGCACGAGCGCCGAAGAAGAACACCTGTTCTCCGTCGTCTTTGGTAGAAACAATGGCTTTTACAAGTGCTGTTGGAGCCACAACACCTCTGCTTGTCGAAAAGTCAGGTAGTAGGAGTCGTGTGTGGAGATATTTTGCATTTGAGGCAGATGAAAGCAGAGTAATTATAAACTCAGTGTGCAAACGGTGCCTCCGAAGTTTCCAGACCAACGGAGGAAACACCTCAAACCTGGCTAAATACTTAAAAGACAGACACCCTGACTTGTTTAAAGAATTCAAGGTGGGTGAGTTTCAATTTACCATCACTTGTGTTATGTTGTACTTATCCTGAAATATACGTTACATTATTTGGGTTTGGGAGCCAGCTCTCTACATTTATAGGGGCGGCTACTAGTACTCGCTACCTTAAGGCCCTGACACACCAAGCCGACGGTCGGCCATTGACCAAAGTCGGGCCGTCAGTGAGCGTCTGTCGCCCTAGGCACCTTGCCGTCAGCGGTTTTTCAGCCGATTGAGCATGTTGAATCGGCGGCGGTGCTTGTCAGTGAGAGAGATCACTCTGATTGGCTGTTCAGGTTTTATTTCCTCGCCCCTGTAGCGAGTGAATCTGCCTGTAGTGAAACCGGGGCTAACCGGTGCTTCCTCCTCAGGCTCCACTTCACTCAGCTGCCCCACAGACCCGCTGCAGCTAGCGGAGCGTTAGCCGCAGCATGACCAGGGGGAGGGAAGCACAGCCAGTTAGCCTCCGCTAGCCTCTGAGCTAGCCCCTGAGCTAGCCCCGGCTCTCCGTTTGGATCCAACCGGAGCACCGAGCCCTGGTTTGTTATTCAGGTTAAAGTGGGAAGAAGCAGCAGATTTAATGGGCAGCTGAGTGAAGTGGAGCCTGCGGAGGAAACACCGGGACCGTCTGGATGTAATAGTCCGTGGCGGTGCTGTGGTGCTCGGCTGCACAGATAGGAAGCCCCTCAGCTGACAGGATGTACCACACAGGCACAGAAGGTACGTGCCACTTGGCCTTCGGATGTAGTCCGTGTAGTGTGTTCAAATGCAACTGACACAGGGCAACGTGAGGCGACGTAGATGACGCAACAGTTGGCTTTCGTCGCCGCTAGTTCTTTGATGTCAGTTTGGTGTGTCCGCACCTTTACGTTATAATTTACCCTGTGACAGATGGCTTAGGTTGTGTGACGTTAACGATACCGTCTTTAATGTTACTTAACGTTGCGTTTCAAGCAATTTTTTTTTTTTTTAAAGATTTTTTTTTGGCATTTTGCCTTTAATGGACAGGACAGGTAAGCGTGTAAGGGGGCAAGAGAGAAGGGGGGATGACATGCAGCAAAGGGCCACAGGCTGGATTCGAACCCGGGCCGCTGAGGCAACAGCCTTGTACATGGGGCGCCTGCTCTACCACTAAGCCACCGACGCCCCGTTTCAAGCAATTATTATCGGACTAATTAATCAACATATCTGTAATTTCAAAGTTTGAAACAGTTTTAATAAAGTAGTGAATTTAGAAATACACGAGTTCTGTTTCTGGATTTTTATCATGGTATTGAATGAGTATCGAGAATCGTGGACATTCACCGGTATTGGTATCGACTACTGAAATTCTGGTATCGTGACAAGCCTAGTGGGAACAACAGTTTTTGAAATTGGTCCAGTATGGAGTGAGAGCACTGCAGCCAGCGGTGGCAATGACAACCAAGTGAAGACAACTAGTAGGGGATGTTGCACAACAGTCTGTAGATGCTGCCTTCTTTTCAGCCCCCTGTAGCCCACACAGCTCTCTTCCACAGAGTGTTTGATGGAATTCCCACTGGTGGCGCCTTTAATGCACTGGTATTTCTGTAACCGTCTGACATTCCAATATTCACACCCACTGCACCCAGTGATTGGCCGAACTTGTGGTGGTGAGAAAGCCAGACAGGGTTTGAGTGTCTCTTTCAAGCTCTCCTTTTTCATTCTTTGCACAACAATTGTTGGCACTTTTCGTATCATTCATGGGGAAACTGTGGCTCAGAGGTAGAGTGGGTCATCCACTAGGCGGAAGATTGGAGTTTCAATCCCCATCTCCCTCGCTTGCATATGGAAGTATCTTTAGGCAAGACACTGAACTTTCCATGTTTTCACAATGTTGACTCATGTTTCTTGGTATAGAGCAAAACTACAAGCTTCCCTCCTGAGCCTCAGCTTATGAAGAAGACACTGTGTTTAAACGTGTATCATCATTTATCCAGAGCACTTTGAGGGTTAACCTTTTGCCAGCTTGTCTTTCTGACAGCTATGAGGGGAAACATGGAGGAGCTGTACACACCCATACACACACACTTACTTGCAAATAGCAGGGAAACACTCCTGCAGTCCTTTCTTCTTCACCAGAGACCCTTCGATACAGTACATGATGATATCCATCACCTGAAGAAGAGGAAGTGACATGTAAGAGAGAGGACGGAGGAGTAGTAGGAGGTGATGATACCTCCCATAATGTCTTTACCAGGACTGTGGAGAACACCATCTTTACAATCAGTAATATAACATGTGATAACGTTTACCTCGACCAGCAGATCCACGACGTCTCCAGGCATCTTCTCTATCAGGATGTCGATGACTCGCAGTATCTCAGTCTTGGCTCTGGCCAGAGTGGTGGTGTGAATGTTCTGCTGCGACTGAGAGTTCGCCTGAGCCGCGTTGTACCGATGAACCTGGAAAATAAAAACACATATGAATCTATCATTACTGGAGAAAGTAATATAAGAAAGAAAAACACGCTGCATCTGAGACCGTTTTGGATACAGAAACGATACATGTTTCAATACCTTACTCTAAGAAATATCAAGTGTTTTATTTAACAAAAAGATACGAACTATGCCCTTAATGTGCTTCTAATCTGATGTTTGTGAAGATGTTTGAACAGTTCAGTCTCACCTCTCTTGCAATGGTGGTGATGAAGGCTGGAGGCCGGGCAGTGGCGATGAGAGAGAGGGCATGGCGGGCTGAGCGAGCAGAATCTGCCGGCGGGTTGAGGGGTAAACCCATGGTGATACTGTGGAGACAGAGAGCAGCAGAGTGTCATTTATATGCCTCAAAAGTATATCTTTTAAATCCAAAATACAGACATTTTTTGTTGGCCCATTTTTGGAGCTGTGTGGCACACTTATTATGAAATACATTCACTGTTGGTTTTTGTCTTTTCATGTCATTGACAATAACAAAAATATAGAGTATCACGAGACTTATCCTTTAAAGAGAAATTCTATAATGATCTAAAGAGGGAGAGATCTAAATAGCCGATGTTATAGAGAGGAAGAAAACAAGATTAAAGTGAGGGAAGCGGCAGAGAGGGAGAGATGGAGCCTTACTAATATATGGAGTGAAGAGATTAGCGGGCAGCTTATAATGTCAAGGCCGAGTCAATGGGAGCCATTCAGCAGACGACGGCATAATGGACTCCCACAATGCAACAGGAATTAGACACACACACCCTAACAGCTGGCCACACACCCCTCTGAGTGTGAGAGAGACAGAGGGGGTGAGCAGGGCCACCTTGTTAAGAAATGACTCTGGGGAGGGAGGCGGAGTGATGGGTGGACGGACGGCCGGGCTGCACGATTCATCTCCTCTGATTACAGATCACAGCTACAGCACCTGTAATTAATACCGGTAATATATTGGCAATATATCAGTGGTATTGAAATGTTTAATTTCATTTAGAGGGGCGGCTGTAATTGGAAACAGTCAGGATGTTGATATAAGGCAGCAGGAGAGCAGGGAGCTAATTGTGCCGAGAAGCACTGAGGTTAATAACCAACGTTTAGAGCATGTAATGAAATAATCTGGATTATTATTGCAGTCATAGGAGCACACACGCACACAGTGTCATTAATGAAATCAAAATCTGAAGCCATTTTATTAGGTACACCAATGTTATCTATTGCAATTCATTCCAACAGCCCAGCTATAAATTATAACCTTGCAAAGTTTATAATGGTCAGCTTTTAAATGTTTTAGTGAAGTCTTAGTTACTGTCTAATGAACAGCATTGTTTTTGTACTACCTTCATGCAAACATGAGGGGTAAGGCCCTGATCACACAGGAAGTGTTTTAGCGGCTGAAGGCGGCTTTTTGTAACTGTTTTTGTGTTGCAATGCACCTCACGTTTCTGCACTCTAGGCTCCCGGCGTTCAACTCCTCGAGTTGAAAAAACTTCAACACAGAGCTGAAAAGTATCCTACGTCATCTCTGCTTTTTTCCCCATTGTCTAATCAGATGATTTGAGAGGCGGGCCTTCTGTGGTGGTCATGACAACAAGTTTACAGTTGGTAAACAATGGTGGTAGTGGTTGCTGGATACCCAGAGCTATACGGCCGGACGATAGACAGCAGGTTGTCAAACTGCCCCTGAGTCATCCTAAAATATGCCTGGAAACGCCCATGATGGAGGAGAAGCTCCTGGACCAACTGGTGGTACTCCCCATGATCCAGCCTCTTTTTAGGGTGTCATGTACCCACACAGATCTCTGTTTATCTGCTGACAGCCTCTCACCCTCAACCAGAGCTACAGACAGTAGATACTAATTAATGTGGAGTAAATAAAATTAATAACTTCACAGTAGATGGGTTACACAGGAAGGTCAGGATAAGGAGGTGATGGCATGGTTGCGTGGCTGTTAAAAATATTAAATATAAAGATGTCAACGTCGGCATGTTTCGCTGTCTTTTAACATTTTGTTGACAATAATTAATCAAGAAAATAATGTGCAGATTAATCAACAATAGACATAATCGTTAGTTGCAGCCCTACTATAAATTAAACTGTGTAAAACTAAGGATGGATCATGAGATCAGATTGTTGAAACTGTTCTACTACTGAATTTACAGCATGTTGAGCTGACAAGGAACACACACACACACACACACACACACACACATATACACACGCAGGGTTCAGTGTGTGTGAACCTGGCAACATGACTGCATTCACAGCCAGTATCACGCTGACATTATCCAGTCAATACTGAGTCACACACATACACACAGTGAGGATTGGAAGTATTGATTTTTGTGTGTGAGGGAGGAGTGAATAACCTCGATCACATGATGAGAGCCACTGCTGCAAGGAACCAACACTGTGGAGATGACTTACTGACTGTTTACTGACTGACCAGTTTGCTCAGTGAGTTGCAGACGGCGTACCTGGATGGTTTACTGACTGGTTTCAGAAACAGACGACATACACACACATGTTGTGGGTCAACTGGACCAATTCATTTCAAAATACTGTCAGCCTTCTAGCTGACACTCCATGTGCACACATTATGCATTCTCCATGTCTATCTCATCCTCCACTTCACCAAATTCGGCAGCATGCCTGTGCCCGTCCCTGATCATGATGCACGGTCTGAGTCCGACCCATTCAAACAGACACGGGTTTGGTCCACGTCACTGTGTCAGTCTACTTGGAATATCATCGACTAACTGGTGTGTGAATGTCTGACAGAGTATCCGAATGGTTTTTTTACTGACTGGTTCAATGGCTGACTCAACCTTAAAGGGACAGTTCACTCCAAATTCAGAAGTACACATTTTTCCAATACCTGTAGTGCTGTTTATCAATCTAAATTGCTTCAGTGTGAGTTGCAGAGTGGTGGAAATAGTGGGCCCATTAGTTGACTGACTAATTAAAGACTTGGATTACTGACTGACGGCTCACAGACTTTCTTTTCATTTTAAACATTGACTGATATTTATGAGTCTACAACTTTATTTTCCTTGTTTTTCTGAGAAGTGACCTGTAGTTTTCAGATCACTGTTTATCTGTGTGAAAACATCCTGTTGTGTTCATGAGTCGGCATCCATGGTGAGAACAACACGTACTTATCTCTGCACGACACACACACAAACACACAGATTACTCAAACATTGATCTACCTCTGCATGACACAGTTTTTCAAAAACACACATAAAGAATAAAGTGTGAATTTGACATGCAGGGATAAACACATCTCTGTACATTGTGTTTTTGTCCATCTCACACACAAACACATTAAAACATGCACTTATCTCTGCAGTGGCGACAACAAACACATCACACATCAGAGCCACATTCAGGTCACAAGAGGCCGTTAAATTCCAGTCCACTGCAGGACATCAGATACACACTGGATTTATACATTTACTGAAGAACTCTGGACGTACGGAAAGTTTCAGAGGCCTTTTTCAGTCCTGTTCTCTTATTTACGTACGGTACCTACTTCTTTCTTTAATCACAGAGAGATTTTTCCATATGAAAACAGATATTAAAGGGATAGTGCACCCAATAATGAAAATTCAGCCATTATCTACTCACCCATATGCCGAGGGAGGCTCTGGTGAAGTTTTAGAGTCCTCACATCCCTTGCGGACATCGGCGGGTGGAGTGGCCAGCACACCTAATGGCTGACGGCGCCCCAGACTAACGTCCAAGAACACAAAATTGAATCCACAAAATATCTCCATACTGCTCATCCGTAGTGATCCAAGTGTGCTGCAGCCCCGACATAAAAAGTTGTTTGGAAAAACGTCATATGAACTCTGTTTTTAGCCTCACTGTAGCCTGTAGCTCTGACTGCTTCTCTGTGCTCCGCGCTCACGTGTGCGCGCTCAGGGTGATCGGTGATGCACGGTCTCTGAAGAGCAGCAGTCTCGTCAGTACTGATGTCCAGATTCTCAAGTGCAGGCATCGCCAATTCCCAGTCTGAGCAGCAAAGACTTTCCTCATGCGTTGGCACTGCTTTGCATTTGAAACAATTACACCACCAGGTTTCCAGTGCTCGACTCCAGTATTCTGCGGCTGGCTGAGGCTCATGAGCTGCAGCAGCTGCTTCATCCAGTAGCCTGAGTTCTGTGTCCGTATACTCGGACTCAAACAAATACGGCTCAACAAAGAAATGCTGTTCCTCCTCAATTTCAAAGTCTTCAGACATGTTGGGCTGTCCTTTGCTAAAAGACTGTAGTGCAAATTATCTTTTAGCTCTGTGGTTACCGTTGCCTCCCCCTGCGGTGCATGTGTCTCGCGCAGGCGCGCACACATGAACGCGGAGCACAGAGAAACAGTCAGAGCTACAGGCTACAGTGAGGCTAAAAACAGAGTTCAGATGACATTTTCGAAACAACTTTTTGTGTCACGGCTTCAGCACACTTGGATCACTACGGATGAGCATGTTGGAGATATTTTGTGGTTTCAATTTTGTGTTCTTGGACGTTAGTCTGGGGCGCCGTCTGCCATTAGGTGTGCTAGCCGCTCCCCCCACCGATCTCCACAAGGGATGTGAGGACTCTAAAACTTCACCAGGGCCTCCGTCGGCATATGGGTGAGTAGATAATGGCTGAATTTTCATTTTTGGGTGCACTATCCCTTTAAGTATATTTTTACCTACACAACATGGTTGCAGTTACACAATGGAACTATATCTCGACAAAGAGCAGTTCATCAATCAGCTGAGTACTTCTCAGGCTTTGTCATGTAAATAACAGATTCCAGTACTTGACCAGGCCATAGCACAGCACAGCAGCATGTCAAGTGGGCCGAACCAGATCTATAATCTTGATTTGTTATCTGAATCCAGCCCGACCCGGTATCCACACTGTCATGAACGTTAACAAGTGTCGTACACGATAATTGATCATTTTATCTAATGTAATGTGTCATAGTGGATGACAACCGACGCTATGTCTGGGACGCTCCTCCCATCTGGTGGCACTTTTTACATTACTACAATAATGGTAAATGGACCTGAGCTTGCATAGCACCTTTCTAGTCATCTGACAACTCAAAGTGCTTTTTACACTATAGGGGCGATCACACAGATATGAGATGTTAGAGACGCGGATGCTTCAAAGAAGCTTGAAACGCTGGAAGCGCTTATTCAATGCGCACTAGCTACTGGCGTCTGACGCTCAAAAAGTTGAAAATATTTTAACTTTTCAGCATCTAAGCGTGTAAAAAGAGAAGCGTCTAAAAAGAAATGTCTACAAAAACGCGTCTAAAAAGACACCGCAAAAAATCCCATCTAAAAAGACGCTTGAACGCCGATCAGACGCGCCGTATCATAGGAAAACAATGGTTTTACTGGTGTTGCATTTCTAGTGTTTCATCTCGGTGTGATCACTCCCTATGTGTCACATTCACCCATTCACACACACACATTCACACACTGGTGACCGAGGCTACTATTCAAGGTGCCACCTGCACTCACACACAGATGTTACAGCCATCAGGAGCAATTTGGGCTTCAGTATCTTGCTCAAGGATGCTTCGACATGCAGACTGGAGGAGGCGGGGATCGGACTACTGATCTTCCAATTGGTGAATAAACTGCTCTGCCTCCGGAGACACGACTTGATGACACCACACACGTCTTGAAAGACGACGAGCGATGGTTGGTCATGGACCATCATGTAGTCTGTCATGTCTGTCTGTCAAAGCACGATTTTATGACTCAACAATCGCCTAATCTGACGTAGTGACGAGTAGACCAACATGTAACTGTCATCACATTCTCATAACAAGGTATGGATGTCTGAGAGGGTCATTAGATACACACACACACATTTTATTTTATTTCTCCAGCTTGTGTGTCTAAAAGAATAAAATGTGTGAGTCTTCAACATCAGGAGCTTTTTCAAATCTCTGTCCATTGAAAAGGGATTATCACACATACACACACACACACACACACATACACACACACGACTGGTTGTGTGTATCAGGGACAAAGAGCCTCACTGCAAGTCAGCTGCATGGAAATTCACCTGCTGTGAGTGTGAGTGTAAGTGTGTGTGTCATGCATTTAACTCTTCACACTGTCCCTCTTTCTACAGCAGAAACTCACCAGTGAACAAATACTAGAACAGACTCTGCGCTTGTGTGTGTATTTTATCTCTCCGTGTTGTAGGTTACTGTGCTGATGGATGTCCTTCGTCCACTTTATCAATCAATGATTTAATTCAACCATTACTCAGCATTATTCTTAAACAAACAGAGACTAACAGCATCCAAGGGACGACAGGAAATATGTTTGGGACGCAGGAAACTCACTATCGTCACATTAGGTGATGCGTCCTATTGTTTCCCTGATAACGCTACATCTTTTTACAACAAATCTGTGTTGACATCAGCAGGAGGAGAGCTAGTTAACGTTAGCTGGTAGCTGTTAGCAGCTGTTAATTATGGTTAAGGTTAATTATGATGTTACCACGATGTGTTCGATAGGACAGCCCCCTAACAGCCGAACAGAAAGGTCATTAATCGCAGGAAAATAAACAAACAAATGTGAAACTCTATTAGGAGCTGCACCTTGTCAAAATAAATCCAAACCTATATGACTGGACCATGTGGTGCAAAAGAAGGTCATATAAAAGCCGTGCATCCCTCGTATTTCAGGTGGAATTACAGAGGGTCTGTCAAGGGTGATGAATGGCCCAAGAATAAATAAATAAATAAGTAAAAACATAAACCACTTATCGTTTTTAACCGAACTTTATACTGACTGTGACTCACAACTTCCAGACTTTTCCTTATGTTAATTATTTTGTGAGAATCTTTACTGACTGTTCAAATTATCTTCACTTTCTATTCTACTAGAATTTGATTGTGTTGTTTTCTCTTTCACATACACACACACACACACACCCCCCCACACACACACACACAGTGGCAGCAGACATATCTATACTCATTTAACCAGACTGACCCAGCTCGAGTTTCAGCCTTAATAGGATCAACTCATGTTGGCCAGTTAGATTTCAGCAGGGAGGAAGAGACAACACACACACACACACACACACACACACACACACACACGATAAGATGCCACTGGACCACCTTAATTCTGTGACCTCTCACCTTCGCTCATACAAAACGCTGCATTAACTCAACCACAGCCTCACTGTGACTGTGTCAAGGCAGCCGTGACCTTTGACCTCCTCTCTGCTGGTTCTGATGTTCATAGTCTACGAGCCAAAATGGACTCTGCTGCTGTCAACATCAGTGGTTTGACACCAACTTCTGACTGGGTCATCTCAGAGTCACGGTAACAGCGACGGATGGAAGTCATGTGATCGGATAAATACACCTTCACTCAGACGTCTACGACCAGAACCAATCAGAAGATCCCAGGATAAATTTGAAGAGGGAAATCTTGTTATGTTTTCCTGACTTGTCATGTTAAACACTGGGTAACTTTAGCTCTTCAGGCCTCCAATGCAACAATCTGAGGAGGAAAGATCGCTGTGACGAAGGGTCACTCAAAGGCGTCACATCCACAAAGGTCGCCTCTGCACTGAGCTACGATTACAGTCGTGTCGACGCCGGTCTGTGCCGCCGAATGCCAGCTCCAGTAGTGCCCTGGACTCTCTGTCAGCATATAAACTTATATCCCAGTTGAGGTAAGGTAATAATCACAATCCGACCACTAGTTTTCTGGAGAAACACGGTGATACCACATGAACACAGACAAACGCACACAGACAGAGGACTCACATGTCAGAGCAACGCAGACATCGTTACATCATCATAATGTCCTGCAATCAGATTACAGCCTGGCTTCCATAACTCAGTGTGCCGGCTCTATAATGCCTGAGTGTTTCTCTGTGTGTGTGCTCTTATGTTTGTATCTATAAGCAGGCTGTTGTCTGTACTCTGGAATCTGAGAGGGAAGACTGAGCCTTCAAACAGACCAACACAAACAATGACTCAATCAGAACAGAAACTGAGGACGCAGGTCTGCTCTGAGCCACAGCGTCTTCATGTGCAGTGTCTATTTAAACCTTTCTGTATGTAACATTGTTTTTACTGTGTGTGCATGTATCAAGAGCCATTTTGAAGCTTACCAGGGAAACTCAGAGTCTTTTAGGTGATGACCATTAAAAGGACGATTTACCAAGTCTTATTAAAGCAATGTTATGCAAGAATTGTTATTTTGGCAATTTGGCGCCCCTACAGTTCAGAGTGGTACACCACTGTCTGTATTTCTAAATAATTACTGCCTAAATTAAAACTGACTTAATAAATTGGTTTAAAAAAAATGACCCCTCTCACACCTTCATGGCACAAAATTGTTTACTCCACTAGGATTTGTCTCTACAGCCCCGTTTTCACCGAGCAGTACAGTTCAGCTCAGTACACACAGATCTGGTACTAAAAGGTGGAGCTGTGAACACTGCAGTCTGATTGGTCAGTAGAGGACGGTCACTCTGCTCAGGGCTGAGTTGTGTCTGGTTTTGAGGCTCATGTAACCACTGTTCATATTGTGGAGAGTTTTATTAGTAAACTGTAACTATAAAATGAAAGGATGTTTTGCTGCCTCTCACAGCAGCTGGAGTCTGAGAAAAATTAACTTCATTCACTGGGTCTACTGCCGGCGACTTTTAAGGTGGAACGTTTACTTGTAATGTTACTCAATGCATGAGTTGATGACGTGAATCCATCAGCACACCTTAAATTTCACTGTGACAACTTTGACCATCATTTTAGTTTTTATATGACACATAGTTTTAGAAATGACTTTAAAAATATAGATTAATTTGGAGCGGATTATGTGAAGGTCATATATTCTAATCCTCACTTCCTGTGGGCTCCAGCAACACTAAACCCCTGAGCTTGCCTGAGAAGGACTAAATGCACAAAGCTGCTATTTTTTAAATATCCCATGAAGAGAGACTCTCACTGCAGCCTCTTCTATTTTGTTCTGAACATGCAGCCTCGTTCTGTGGACGATAAACCAGGTGAAGACTTTGCTCCGTGTCACTGTTGAAGAGGAAGAGGATGCAGATTTCGCCACGTTGTTGCCAGCTTCTTCTTCTGTTACACATTTAATGCTATTCAAACTTCCAGGTCAAATCTCGGGACGGAAACTGTGGAGCATTCGCAGAGCGTCTTGACCAGTTCGGGTCTGATTGAGACTTTTAGAAACTTGATTTAGCACAATTTCAGTCGGACTAACATGCTTACATGTATTTTAAAAGTCCAGTTTTATTATGACTGACATAATAATTTTTCTTCTACTGTCATGTAAACATGCTGAGTGTACAGTCTAAGTGATGTTGAAGCTGTAATTTCAACGTAAAGAAAGTGCATAATAATACCTTAAAGCAAGTTCAAGACATGCCCCAAATTATATGAGAAAAGTCTAAGACAAGCTTTAAGTCTTGTTGAAGCCAGTCCAAGTCATTTTCTCACCCCTGACCTTTCTACATCTACATTTGGTATAACTGCTGTTTCAGTGGCATTTGATGACTGTATTTCAACACAGAGCAGGTCCTCCAGGACGTGTGGCTTTTCTCAGATCTTGTCACAGTTTTCTTCACATGCTTAGGTGTTAATTTGTCTTTTTTAGAATACGAAATAAAGTGTGTAAGTTATCAGTGACAGCAACATTTGAGTTTGTGTGTGCGTAGCTGTGGACTCACTTGGCCAGCTGCTTCTCAGCATCGGCGCAGAGCTCCAGCAGTCCCATGAGCACCGCTGACACGTCCATATACGGCTCCCACACGGTGAAGCCTCGGCCAATCAGATCGATGGCGGTGCGGCGGATGGTGCTGTGGGGAGGCAGCTTGGGGCTGGGGGGCTGCAGCAGCAGGAAGGTCAGCGCCTTACCTGCGAATGGTAGAAACAGTAGAATCAGAGTAAAGTAGAGCAGAATTATGGAGGAGGGGGAGTTCATCTGAAAATGACAGGAGCTCAATGTTACTGCGTGGAAGGTCGAACCTGTAACAATCCTACATTTTATGTGACTTAATCAGCTCTTATTTCACATTTCCGTTCTCTCCTTTTGTTGCAGCAGCGAATAATGTAAAGAGAAAATGAGAATCAAGATGTGAAAAAGGTGTTGGAGAAAAACTTTGATGAATTGAAGTCATGGGGGTCCACGTTTAAAAACAGCAAAAACTATACCAAAACATCTGTTTACAAACTCTAACACAACTCATGCAGTTTAAACCAAGTCTCATTTATCCAGTCGTATGCTCTGTACTTCCCAAACAGACAGCTGATGGGGAACGGAAATTGAAACTTGTCTATCCTCTCTTCAAAGCCAGACTCCATTAACAAAAATAGTAATTTTACCTCACTGAACACAGGAGCTGCTGGTCTACTGCTGCCTTGGTTAGTTTTTGTGTTATTGTGTGACTTTGCTGAATCCAAATGAACCCTTTAAAACACAGAAGCCGAACACAGCTGAATTGTGAAGGTGCATACCACAAAACCACCGTCCCGCTGTTTGACTACAGCCAGGGACCTTTGTTGCATGATCACCCTGTCTCTTCTTCTCTTTTTGTGTCTGTCTAATATAATCTTTAAAAAGATAATCAAGTTTAGTATCAGTAGGGTTTATAAAGGTGGTGCCATTTACTATAAAACTGAATCCATCAATGCACCCATTAATTAATAGATTTTAATATATGAAGACAAATTTTAAGGAGTTTTAAGAGCGTAGAAACCCCTTCAAATTGAGTAATAATCCAAGTCTCATTTATGTAGTTGAATGTTTAGGACTTCCCAAACAGACAGGGAAACTGACCTAAAATTATATCTTATCAATGCTCTCTTCAAAGCCAGACTCCATTGACAAAAACAGTAATTTTACCTCACAGAACACAGAAGCTGCTGGTCTACTGCTGCCTCGATCACTGAGTTTGTTTTTATAGTGTGAATTTGTTGAATCCGAACTAACCCTTTAAGTGACACAATAACACAAACTAACTAACTAACTGATCAAGGCAGCAGTAGACCAGCAGCTCCTGTGTTCAGTGAGGTAAAATTACCACTTTTGTTAGGCCCCGTTTATACGACAACGACTTCAACTGAAAACGGTAAACTTTAGTTGCGTTTTGGCCGATCGTTTACATGACAGCGGTGTTTTGGGTGCCTGAAAACGCAACATTTTGAAAACAGGTTCCAGAGTGAAATTTTTTGGAAACAGCACATGCGCGTTACGGTTCCAGTCACTAGGCATGTGCGAGAAAGTCGACCGTCACAACAACAATGCCGAGCTCTGTTTGTGCTGCTCAGCCTGTTGATTTGAAGTGAAGTGTAGATCTGTTACTGCAGCAACTCCACCTCATCGTCCATCCCAACAAAGTTATCTGTGCATGCTTTCGCCATTGTGTCTTCTTTGTTTTGGTTTGTAATCACCGCGTTGCAGAGGAAGGTGCTTCAGCGCAGGCGCATGGCGTCATGCCGTGGTGTTGCTTTGCAAATTTACACTGCCACCCATTGGCCTGGTGTGCATACTACAGCGTTTCCAGTAGATTTTGCGGCTCCGTGTGAACGGGGATCGTTTCAATAACGCCATCATATAAACGCAGAAGTTTTTTAAAATGCAAAGGACAGACTTTTCCGTTTTTTAGAGAAACCATTGTTGTCTAAACAGGACCTTAATAGCACAGATAAGTTCCACTTTCAGTTTAGCTTCCCCATCAAAAAGGGACGTCTGTTTGGGAAGTACTGAGCATACGACTGCATAAATGAGACTTGGATAATACTGCATGAGTTGTGTGAGAGTTTGTAAACATTTTTTTTCCCCCAACTCTTTTTATTGATAGTTTTGTCATATTTCAAACAAAAATTTCTCAATTTGTTTTGACAACATTTTCTTGAGACGCAGACAAGGCGAACAAGAAAGACATATATATATATACACAGTATATAAAAAAAGAAAAGAACATATATATCTCTTTCTCCAAAAAAAATCAGGTGTCGACTATATGAGTATATATACACATTATTTAGCCATATATGGAAAAGAAATATTCGATACCAGGAAAAATGTATATAAAAACAAACATAAATATCCCCACCCACCCCCCACAAGAAAAAAAAATAAGACAATTAAAGAAAAAACAAATAAATAAATGATAATAGTAATAATAATAGTAATAAAATGAAATAAATGAAAAATAAAAAAGGAGGGAAAAAATAAAATAATAATTAAAAAAACAAAAATAAAAAATAATAATCAACAGCATACACAGTCTTCATCACCGTCCTCCCTACAGGAGAAATGTTGTTGGGCTTCAAGAAGTACAGTTGGGTGCCACTAGAAAAAAGAAAAGAGTACAGTGGTACCAGATTCTCAGTCCACGCAGAGATGCAAACAGCTCACACCCAAAAGTTATGTCTTCTAATTAATTTCAGAGTTTGTAAACAGATGTTTTGATACAGCTTTACTGTTGTTAAATGTGGACAGGGCCAGTAACTGATACACAAATGGTCATTTGGGTGAAGTATTCCTTTAAATCTGCATGTTTAATTTTAGTGGACAGTGCACATTCAACACTAACATCAATGTAAATGTACCATTTGTACCAACATGTACAGCACTTTGGAGCATTTAAACAGATGATAGTTAGAGACACATGATTGTATCTACTCAACTTCAGTGTCACTGCAGAGTCAAAGCTCCGCGCACTGCAGCAACATGTAATAACCATTAAGAAATTCTAACTTCTGAGAGACAAAAAATAAGAAATCCTAATGTTTCCAATGAGATTCGAGTAAAATAGATCCAACTTTGGTGCACACACACACACACACACACACACACACACACACACACACACGCACACACACACACAGAGGATAAAGACAGCTCGCAGGATGGAGGTCACTTCATAGCTGACCTGACATTTGAGCCAGTCTCAGTGGGGACAGACTGACCATTAAGGCTCCTGAAAATATCCCCCATCCCTCAATAACACCCCCCTCCAACACACACATACACACACCCTCCTCCCCCCCGAGTGTCTGTCTGTCTGTCTCTGCCTGTCTCACCCACTGGAGCCTGAGGTCCAGAGCTTTTAGCAGTTTCTTCCCAAAGTGCTTCAAAAACATAAAGTCGGGGGAAGATCCAGACAGAGACACAGGATGGAAACGGTAACAGAAAAATACAGTTTTCATATATTAACTGTCCATTTATATATTCATTTACAGTCAGTGACACATGTGTGGAATATTCTGGATGTGTCTGTCGAGCATTGTATGGTCGTGGTATTAAGTCTTTCTCTATATCAACATGAGGGAGGCTCGTCTTCTTCTACTGTCAGGGTCCACTCAGGGATCAATACACTTCATTGTATTTTCACTTGTAAATGTAAATGCTAAACAGCCATAATATGAAGAAACATATAATATAAAACAGATCATTTACTATCAGTATTTATAATCCTGTGGTGGCTCTAAAGGCCCTCCAGTTTCCAGACACACACAGCTAATCTCATCATCTGGATCTCCTGGCATTTAATCATCAGCCCGCCTTTAATGGCAAAACCCCTCTTCCTTATTGGTTTATACTTCCCTCAGTCTATGGATGGGGCTATGAGAGATGTAGCTAGAGGCTAACCCTGTTAGCACTGCACGGTACGACTGTTGCAATATATACCGGCAGCAGCAAGATAGAGCGCTAACTGTGTTAGCATCGTTGTGGTATGTTGTTATGGGTGACTGTAAGAGATGGACGTCAGTGCTAACAGTGTTAGCAGGTATGCTGTTGGTGAAGAGACGAAGAGTCAAACATGTAAAACAGGTGTGTTGTTGGCGTGTTGTGACTGAATCAGTGAACTTTGACTCTCAGCTTGTGAACAACATGAGCAAACACCAGAAAGAGCTCAAATCAATCATGTTTTTGTTAATCAATATGCATACAAACAGCAGACTATAAATATCCACAGTGATGCAGAGCTGAATGAACTTTGACCTCCAGTTTGTGATTATTATGAATCCTCAAAACAACAGACAGATTTTTTTTCCTGAGCTGCTTCGGCAAAAATCCACAAATAATAAATTGTTACTCTCAAAATCTTGTGTGCAGCTGTGAAAGCTGCTTCTCATTTTCTCACAGTCAACATTTCCTGTTGATTTCACAAAGAGTTCAAACACTTTGATGCCCTGATCAGAAATCTCGGTGTCATCTTTGATGCAGCTTTAAAACTGCACAAACAAATTTACACTGTTGTGTGAGGTTGCTTTTTACAACTTAGAAATACAGCCAAACTCATTTAATGACCTGCAGATAATCATGAATGCCCAAATTTCCTCTCGATTGAATTAATGTAATGCTCCATATGTGGGAATGAGCCAGTCTAAAATATGACTAAAACTAAAAAGCATTTTTGTCTCAAGACTAAGACTAGTTTGGTTCGGTTCAACTGAACTCAAGTTCGTTTGCCCCCTCAGTGCGGTTTGTTTGGGCAGGTGTGAACACAGCAATCACACTCAGGTGTGCACCAAAGCAACCGGACTGAGACCTTCTTGAAGAGGTGGTCTCAGTCCGGTTCCAAAGGAACTCTGGTGCGGTTGGTTTGTGGTGAGAAGGTGTTCCGACCTGGATGTGAAGCAACTGCAGTCACATTACACATTGTTTGGGTTAAACATGAGCATTTTACAGTCCTGGAGGATTATTAATGTGCACCTCATCCTGTACTGCCTTAATATGCACATTCAGCACATCCAATGCATCAAAACATTGTTTTCTAGTTGGAGCCGCGCCTCGTTTTCAAACTGTATGCTTTGACTAAAATGAACAATGACAGCAATATAGTCCACGATGAGCAGCGCTAAAATCAACCTGCGTAGTTGTCCCTCCATTGTGACATTAGAAA